AAATACCTTTGCAGAGTTTTCTGCTTGGGCTGCTATTACATAAAAAGTCCTGAGTCCTAGAGTCCTACAGCAGGAATGGTGAGGGTGACCAAAGGCTGCTAATTAGACCGGCAGATCAAAAGGAGATGAAAAATTTGACTTCTAAGACTTCTATCCTTGGGAGATCTTAGATCCACTGTTAAGTAGCCTGAAATTGAAGTAACTTGTATAATTTCTATGTGCTTCAGTTGCGTCATCTGAAGATGGGAAAAATAAAAGCAGCTAGCTTATTAGTAGAGTATTACCAGAATTAAATGAGTAGGTATGTGAAAAGCCCTTAAACTAGTGCCTAGAACTTTTTAGAGCATAATGCATGTGTTGGAGAAAATAAAAACATGGAACTGGCGATGAGTTGTCTTCTGTAAGTCCTCTCTGGAAGGAACAGGTTGAACTACAATGTCTAGTGCCATCACTTTTTACAGCTAATCTTAGAAAAAAGAAATACAGGCTAGTGAAAAACATTTAATATTACATGTCAAAAAGCACATCATTTAAGTGTGGACTCACCTATTCTTTCAAACTTACATAGAGCTCCTGCCTGAAGAGAATTTGTGTAGTTTTTTTTTTAATTTTAAAAATAAAAGGAGGAAAACATTAACAGACAGACAACCTTTTACAAAATGGCAAAAGAACAGTACAGACAATACAGAGTTACAAACAAAGTGGTAGGAAATTAACAATGCTTGTTGTATTACATATTGATATCTTCAAAGTGGTTTCTCATGAAAACAGATAGAGACATGCAATACTGACCAATCAAGGATTCATTGACAGTTTCTTTCAGCAAAGAAATAGAAGACAGTAGAACAACTATGTTAACTATCCTGTGTATACATACATAAAAAATTTCTCCTTCTTTCCCTTCTCTTTTCCCTCATCCCAGTTGCCCTTTACCCTTAAGTGTTTTCCTATCATTTCACAATGTCTGTCATACCTCTTAGTTTAAATTAACTCTTCCAGGTTTTACACTAGTGAGACAATGTGGTGCTTGTACATGCAGGTCTCATTTATTTCACTTATGAGTATGGTCTCTAGTTGTGACCATTTACCTATAAAGGCCTCGAGTTTATCTTTCTTTATAGCTGAGTAATATTCCATTATATAAAAGTACCACAATTTTCTTATCCAATCCTTGGTGGATGGACATTTGGGTTGCTTCCAAAATTTAGCAATTACAAATTGTGCTGCTATGAACATAGGTGCACATATATCACTGTGATACGGTGTTTTTAGATCTTCTGGGAAAATACCCAGAAGGGGAATAGCTGGTTTGAATGGGACCTCTAGTCCTCGTTTGCTGAGGAATCTCCAAACTGATATCCACAGTGGTTTCACCAGTCTGCATTCCCACCAGCAGTAGAGAAGGGTTCCTATTTCTCCACAGCCTCACCAGCATTTGTTATTGGTTGACTTCTTAATACTAGCCATTCTTACTGGGGTAAGGTGGAATCTCAATGTTGTTTTAATTTGCATTTCTCAAATGACTAATGATGTTGAGCATTTTCGCATGTATTTATTTGTCATTTGTATTTCCTTATCTGAGAAGTGTGTATTCATCTCAGCTGCCCATTTTTGGATTGGGTCTTTGAATTTGGGGGGGGCTGATATTTTTTAATTCTTTATATGTTCTAGATAGAAGCCCTTTGTCTGAGGGACAGTCAGCTAAATTTTTTTCCAAGTTTGTGGATTTTCTTTTTACTCTGCTGGTGATTTCTTCAGATGTGCAGAAACTTTTCAGTAGGATGAGATCCCAGTTGTTGATTCTTTCAAGTGTTTCACGTTCAATTTGGTTTTTGTTCATGAGCTCTCTGCCTACCCCTATGTCTTCAAGGTTTTTACCTACTTTCTCTTCCAATAGATTTAGTGTTTCTGTTTTAATATTGAGATCTGTGAACCATTTTGACTTGAGTTTGGTGCATGGTGATAGACTTGGGTCTATTTTCAGTCTTTGGTAGGTAGCAAGCCAATTTTTCCAGCACCATTTATTAAAGAGGCTATCGTTCTTCCAGTGAGTTTGTTTGGTCCCTTTATCAAAGATTAGGTGGGTGATTGTGTTTTTGGTTGTGGACTGCCTGAAGAGAATTTGATTTAGGGCTCTTAAATTAACATTATTAAATAGAGAGTTCAGAAATAGTAAAATAATTTGAATAAATAATTCATCTTAAACAATTAAATCAACTTGGAAACAGATTCGTTATGATGAAAATTCTCAAAAAATTACAACCATAGATTTTTTTTATGGAAGAACATTTTTTATTTGGGAATAATAGAAGGTGCCAAAGGGAGTATGAATGTCCTATTAACTTATGGGTGTATTCAAGGAGGATGAAGTAAGCAGAATTTTTTGAAGGTGAAATAAGGAGGATTACATCAGATATTTTGAAGCAATAGTCATTGGCTATAAAAATCAATAAAAAAGTGACCTCAGTCCAAGATGACACAGATGGTTGAGGGGCAGACATCCTTGCAGAAGTGTTTCCTGTGAGATCACAATGGCTTTTGTGCAAGCCTTTAATCCTGGCAGAGACTTTGGGTACTGTTTTTGTTGTCAGACCCACACATGACATTTCCTTCTTCCTAACCTTCTGGGTTCATTTATTATTTTTTTGGTGAGAGCTTCACAAAAGTGACTCCACTTTGAGTCTGCCAACTTTCACAAAATGAGTATCTTTCTTAACAAAAGGCTTTTTAACAGTTGTATTTTTAATAAGAAATTATTTTAATTTCCCTTGTTCCATTTTATTACTTCAGTAAATTTGCAGGTACATTTTTATTCATTGATTTTTATATTCATTATCATTGTAATTAATGTTATAGGATATTTTCACAAACTACTCACAGAATTATTTAACTGTAAACATTAAGTTGTCACATGTGTTGAGCATTGTGCTTCTAGTCTCTGCACAGAAATATGGAACTTTTAAAAAGGTTGTCTACCTACTGATGATATCAAAGTTTATGTGTCTAACCCAGACCCCAGTCTCTATTTTATACTCAAGGATCCAGTTGTCTACCTCACATGGCTAATTGGATGTCTCTGAAATGTTACATGATTAAAAGTGACCTTCTGAACTTCCTTCTTTTTTCTCCCAAAGCATTACCTATTTAATCAATAATTCCATCTTTCTCGTTGTGAGGATGACGCGGGTGTGCTACTTTTCATTTCCATGTATATATTCATTCCTCCTTCACAAAGTCCTTGGAAGTTGGGGATGCTGGCCTCATCCCTGTTCAGGGGGGAATTATGGCTGACTTCAGCCAGTCATCACATTCTGATTTCCTTGCCATATGCCAATCAAAGGAAATCTCAGACTTTTGTCAAGAAAGATGGGAAAGAGGGATGCACTTTCTCTTTCTCACTGGATGTGAAAGAGGAGATCTGTCATCCAGTTGTGGTAGATGGCCATGCCTCAAGTGGGGAGGGAGTCACCCTTGATATAAAAACATCACCACAGCCAACAGAGCATGGACAGAGAAAGTAGCTCTTAAGAGGCCATTGCGTTACCAAGTGAAAAACCCTGAAGATTTCCAACCTCTGGATTTTCCACTCATGTGAATCAATATATCTCCTTGCTCTTGAAGCTACTTTGAGTCGGAACTTTTGATTTATGTCAAAGAAAGCATCCTAATTAATACAGGTTGATAATCTTTGGAACAAATCTTCACATTTCATCAATTTGTATATATTTTAGTGAAACATGGAATGGATGGTGTTTTCAATTTCTATTTTTTTAACACAGCTACGTCTTTGTCCTTTCCTCTTTGTCTCCAGTGCTCTTCTCATGAAGTCCTCTTAGCAACTCTCTAAAGTATAGATTTCCCTTTCTCTTGTAGGGTATTACTGTTTAGACATGGCTTCATTTAAAATGTTTGACCCTAATAGAATTCTTTATTCTTTCTGTTGGAATGAGTTTTTAAAAAATATTGATTTCCTTTTCTACCATATGCCAGGCAGGTACCAGGCACATGCAAGTGTAAAGCCCTTGTATTTACAAACGGGATGCAGAGAAGTGAACCTGCAATTTCCATTTGGAGAGATGTGTTTAGACGGGGAAATTATGGGTGCAGTGAGAGCAATCTTAAGAAGAGTGGGTAATGGAGGTGAGGCAAGCTGTTCTGGCTGACGTCCTATCTACATGAGTATTTGAGAAACAATACTGGTTAAACAGGTGGAAACACAAGGAAAGAACATATTAGGAAGAGAGTGTGTTTGTGCAAATATCCAGCAGCACCTGAAATCAAGGACCTCTGGGGGGACAGGGCAAGAATATGCAATTCCAGAAGGAATGTGCTCAGGGATGAGGCTGGAATTCTAGGAGAAAGCAGGACCAAGAGGGACCTGGCAAGGCTCCGTAATGAATGCGGATTCTATGCTGGGTGTGTGAATGGGGGATCTCTAGGGAAATGTTTGCTTTGTGTTTTAGGAAGATCAAATACATAACCCATGTTTTTCTTCAGATGACACTAATCAGTCACCTTTACAAAGACTGAGTAGACAGAAGAGAGGCAAGAAGTCTGAGGAAACTCCACTGGGAAGATCACCTGTGTTTCATCCTCCTCGACTTTTGTATCATTACCCCCGGCATATCTGATTAGGACCAGTCACAGAACTCAAAAGGATGTGACAAGTGACAAAGGTTGGGACTTTTCTCATAGTTACTAGCAAGAAAGGTTCACACTGGGTCCAGAAATCTGCCTTAAGTGATCAGAATGATATTAATATCAATGATGGACACAACGTCAGTGTCGTGTAAGCAATATTCCCAAACTCAAATGCCACAAAACACATAGTAAAATTCAGCCGTCTGTGATTCTTCACACCAGTTGCGGAGCTTGCATTTAATCACCGTATCCAAAAGTTTCACTGGAAATAATGGACATTGATGACAAAAGACAAAATTTTTGCTTCACTAATCGATTTTATTAGCAGTAAGACTCAGTGGACATGTGTCACCACCCTCCTAACACAGGCTGAGGCTGAGCAAAACGTCCTCTCTCACAGTTTCTGAACTACAGAAGTTGAACCTGTGGAGAGAAAACAACAGAAGGTCACTTCCTCCTGGCTCCCAGCTGGTCATTGCTTTCCTCTCTATTTCAAACAAGGGACACACTTCATGCCCAAATGGAACATTGACTAGTGAAGCTTCCTCTTTATAAAAACCTGAATTTTCCTTTTCCACTGTGTTTCACATTGGGGCAAAAAGCAGAGAGACAAGTGGTCAGTGGACCCCGACCCCAGCCCAAGCCAGGAAGAACTCTGTTTTCCTGTCCATAAAGCAGCTGTGGAACAATCAACCCAAGTCAAGAAGTACAACCAAGAAGGGCGGAGTCAACAATGTGATAAGATCTGCCCTGCAAGGAACTGAAAGAACCTAATGTGTGCTAGCCATTCCTAGTGTAATTCAATAATTGAAGTGAAAATAGTTAATTTTGTCATTAGATTAAACAATATTTAAGATGCTTGGGAGATAATTTTCTCTAAGAAAACGTATGTAAAGTATCTGGCCCTTAAAAATTGTTCAGAAGATGCTTTTTCTTCTTCATCATCTTCATGTTCCTTCCTATGGTCTGATGGCCGGCAGCTTTACCAATGTCAAGCGAAAGGTTAAAAACTAGTGTTAATGAAGAACACTAGTAAAGAAAGGTGCATAATATCTATATGTGAACAACACATACACTGAATTTATTTTGTGTTGCTTAAGAAGTTGTTGGCGTCCTACTCCCTGTATTTAAATTCTGGCACTGAGTCTGCATGCTTATCTGTTAAATATTTGGAGTAAATAAAGGTGCCTACCTTATGGGGTATATATTTTGATTATAGCAAGTCTATTGAGCATTAGCTGACCTAGAATAAACTGCACATTTAAATTACTATTTTTTCTCTTTCTTACTCTCTTTTTACACACTCCTCTGAAATCATCACCAAAATCAAGGTAGTAAAGACTACCATTCATCCCCAAATTTTCTTCCTGCTTCTTGGTAATTCCTCCTTCCTACCTTTTCCTGTCTTCCCTCCCCTAGGTAACCAGCTGCGTTTTGTCATATAGAGTACCGTAGTTTGAATTGTCTAAAACTTCAAATGAATAAAATCAAAGGTGCGCACACCCTTTTGGCTAGCTTCTTTCATTCAGTATAATTATTTTGAGATTCATCCATGTTGCTGCACGTAATACTAATTCATTTCTCATCGGTATTAAGTAGTATTCTACTGCATGGATAGACCACTGTTTGGGTTGTTTCCCATTTTGGCTATTATAATAAAAGCTATGTGGGTATTTATGCACAAACTTTGTATAAATATAGGCTTTCTTTTCTCTTGGTTAAATATCTGTCTCCCCTTAACTAGTTTTTCCAAGATCTCCAGTGGAGGCTTTAATCTGGACATAGAACTGAACCTTATCTATACTGCTTTTTTTCCTTTATGTACCTATCTTTGATGAAATTTAATTTATAAATTAACCACAGTAAGAGATTAATAATAAAAGTAAAATATTATAATGATACATAGTATTGTAATAAAATTGTTAGCAGAAATATTCCAGTGTCCTGCAATATTAAATAAAATAAGAACTCGAGCCCAAGACTGTAATATATTGACAGTCAATCGAATTACCATGAAAAATACCTACTTACAAATGCATGGGGAGTGTATGCAGCAAAGTGATGACTCTTGTTCCAGGAGCCATGGAGTGGGACAGTGTGTGATTTCATTATGTTATTCAGAGAAATATGTAATTTAAAACTTATGAATTATTTATCTCTGAAATTTTCCATTGTTAATATTTTCAGATAACATTTGCATTTTCTTAATGACCAGTAGTGCACATTTTCTGTCTTTTCAATTTGTGAGATCTATTTTGTATTTATAGTGCATTTCAAATAGGGAGAATAATATAATTGGAGGTTGATTTTTTAAAAGCCCAATATGACGATAATGGTGAGAGTTTCAGCTATTTTAATTTAATATGATTATCAATATTCTTAGGTCTAAGTCTATTGTGTTTCTGTTTTTCTTTTTGCCCCCATGATTTTTGCTTACTGTACTTTGAAATATTTTTGTTCCCTTTTATCTTTTTGTTGATTTGTTAGGTATAGTTCTTCTTATTATTTTAATAGTTGCTTTAGAATTGTTAGTACATATTTTTAACTTATCACATTCTCACTTCAAGTCATAGTATGCCAAATCTCATTTAATATAAGACTCTTTCAATAATACATCTCTACTTCTCTTCTCCTTTGTGGTACTGTTCTCACATATCTTATGAAGCACTCAAAGTGTTGTCATTATTTCTACAACAATAAATTATTTTAAAGAAAGTTAAATCATATTTAAGAATAGAATGCATTTTCAGTGTAATCATTATTTTTGTGCCCATAGATCCTTTCTCACTTGAATAGATTCTTTTCTCACTTTCCTGTGCCTGAAGTTCATCCTTTAAAATTTCCTGTAGTGTTGACTGGCTGATGATAAAATCTTTCATTGTGGGTATGTCTAAAAAGCCTTTATTTCATTTTCTTCTTTGAATGATATGTTTGTGGGTATAAATTCTTGGTTAAGAAAGTTTTCCTTTTACTATTTTATAGATGTCCTCTGGCTTACTTTGCTTTTGACATGAAATCTGCTGTGAATTTTACCTTTATTTTTTGTGTGTGATATGTCTTTTTTCCTCCAACTGCCCTTAATATTTTCTCCTTATGATTGGTTTATGGTAATTTGATTTAAGTATGAGTTAGTGTTGTTTTCTTTATGTTCTTGTGATATTTTACCCATTGTTTTATAATTTTGATAGTTGTAGAGCTATTATTTCTTCAAATATATTCTGTCCCTCTTCTTTTGGGGTCTTCAAAGACAAGTACATTAGCATTCTTGAATTTTTGCACAGGTCACTGATGTTCTTTGCATTAATTTTTTTCTTATTGTGTTTCATTCTTGGATATGCTCTACAGTGCCCTCAATTTCACTACTCTCTGATATTGAAATATGTGAAATGATGTTAATCATATTCAGTTTATTTTTAATATGAGACATTGCACTTTGATCTCTAGAAGTTCAGTTTGGATATTTTTCTATATATGTAATGCTTCTGACCATTTTGAATAACTGGAGTAGATGTTTCACAACCACAATAATGCCCTTGTCTACTATTATAGCATATTTGTCAATTTTGGCTGAGTATCAAATCATTGATTAGCTTCCTCATTATGGGTTATGTTGTCCTGCTATTTGCCTAGCTGGGAATCCATAAATTAACAGCAGATATAGTAGATTTAATCTTGCTAGTTCCTGGATAATTCTGTACCTCTATAAATTTTATTAAGGTTTGTTCTGAGACATAGTTATTTGGAAGCAGTCTGATTATTTTAAAGTCTTGCTAAATCTAGAGTAATCATATCCTACTGAAAAACAAAACATTCCTAAATACTATACCCAATGTCTCTTAAATTATAAGCTTTTCCATTCCGGTTGATGGAAATAAGCACTATTCTCAGCCCTGCAGAAGCACTGGGCACTGTTTTCTCCAGTCCCTCCAAATGGCTGTTTCCCTGGCCTTGGCTACTTCACTCACATGTGTGCTGATCAGCACTGACCTGACTATTCAAGAATTCTTGAATATTTAAGAAACATAGGAGTCTGCCTCCACTGCTTTCTACTCTCTGGTAAACTATGTTATTAAATCTATTTGCCTTAGGTTCTCTGATTCTTCACTCTGTCACCTCAAGTTGTAGAGCCCTGGCCCTTGCCTGAATATTTCTGCTTATGTCACACCCTGGAAACTCTCTCAAACCAGTAAACTGGGGCACTTGTAAGACTCCACCTTGTTTGATTTTTGCCTCTCAGGCGTAATTGTCCTTCATGGTTTTAAGTTCAGTGACTTTAAAACTGCTGTATCATGTAGTTTGTTTCAGTTGGGAAGGTATAGGTGATATCTTTTACTCCATCTTTTCTAGGAGCAAAACCCCTTCCATCGGGTTTTTTATGAGGATGACATGTATTTGATGATAGAAGAAGTGCTTTGCTAAGAATTCAACTTAACAATCAAGAAACTCTTGATCTAATATTTAGCTTAACAGTCAAGAAACTATGATTACCATCGGTTCACTTTTTCTGGTAGCTCAACTTGGTAAGCACCTTTTGGCTCACACAAACTATAGTCATGGTTAGATGCAAGAAATTGATCTCCTTGGCCTTTGTTTTCACCAAGAAGACCCACAACACAGAGCAGCTTATTTCTGTCCATCATAGATTAAATCAACACCTGATAATTTAAATGGCAATTTAGTGAACCCATGAATTTTGAAGATATAAGCACATTAATTACACACCCAGCAAAAAACTCATCTACCAAGTGAAACACCCATTTACCTTAGGATCATGAAGCCAGATTTCCATTCTAACACTTAATTTGTATCAGATTACACAATACTTATCAATAATGCTGTCAAACTTTTTCTTAAAGTTATATACTTTCTCCTAAAGACACAAAATACATCAGATAGCAGCTGTGGCTGGGGTGTAGATGAACCACCACAGGATATAACTTTAAGGAGAATTTTAATGGGAACACAATGATAAACATGACTCCATCTTTCTCATCCCTTTGATTTTTATTACTTACACTCTTCCATCATTTCTTGTCACTGTGATCCTAGATGCTCCAACTTTGGGCAGGGTTGGATTGATCACATTGTTGTTCCAAAGAAATTTAACATTCTGCAAGTCCCCAACATCCACATCAGAATCAAAATCATTAGTATGAGTCTTTCCTGGCTGGAGCAAACCCCTGGGCAGTTAAGACATTAAAAAATACATAAATAAACACAAGTATAAAAACAAATAACCATGCAAGTAAATATATATGTACATAAACACATGCATATATATTTCTAAAACCAGTTTATAATACATCTCTAACTAAGGTGATTGATAGAACACTTGTCATTCTAATGTATCAAATAAATGCATCCATATAAGGTAACTCAGGGGTAGATTTTGCCCTCAATGATTCCTTTACTTTAAGGTCATCAATAATGTAATAAAACTACAAATATATTTTGGCCACTACCCTCTCACATTTTAATTTATGATGACATCAATGTGTCACCCTTTCAGTTTTTTTCAAGTAAACTAATTATTCACTACATATATCTCACATGTCAGTAATCAAAGTGGTTTTGTTTGGGATCCATAATGTCCCGCAATAGTCTCATGGTGCTGAAACCCTGGTTACTACATGATGGAGTTTGGGGAACTGAAAGGATGGTAAAGGCTCTAAATTCATCAAGTGGGTTAATTCCTTGATGAGTTTATGGTTCAATGAAGATATTATATTATTGGAAGATAGGCCTTAATTGTATAAGGTGGTCACTGGGGCATCACTTTGAAGGTTATAATTTTTTCTAGGTTCCTTCCTGGGTCTCTGCCTTTCCCATCTCTATCTGCTTCTTGACGGCCACAAGATCACCAGCTTTCCTCCACCACAGCCTGGCCCTGTGATGTTCTTTCTCACCACAAGCTGAAAGTCATGGAGACAGTATACCATGTACTGAAACCTCTGAAATCACAAGCCAAGATAAATCTTTCTTCTTTTAAATGATTTTTCCTGAGGTATTTGGTAATAGTGATGAAAAGCTAACACAGTAAACATTAATGGTTTTCTCAGGAAATATAGACACAATTTCGAAGTAGAATTCTGAAATGTATCAAGATGTTAAGGAACAAAACTCTTTTCCTTTTTATTACATGACAGTACTACTCTTCCATATGTTAATGCATAAACAAGCCCTTCTGCCATAACATACATCATACATGGGCAGTGTTCAAACATTTAAAATACATAGAATAACATTTTACTCACTTATAAATTTGATATTGTTTAGAGGTCCCTCCATTTCCAAGCAAAGAAACTAGCACATATCCTGTAACCTGCTTTCCAGACAGTGTAACAGCTACACGATACCTCCAGCCTGCACAGGAGAAAATTTTGCAAAATGTCAGCCTTAGAAGAAACACCTTAAAAATAGGCTAATTTGGATCCCACTACTACTGTAGAATTTTGGATAATTTATATATGGTGTGGGTAATTCTTCTAAGAAATAGTCATAGTCATTTCTTTATCTAAGGGTTCACAGAACAGATGTTGGACAATGGGGATGTACAGAATAATTCCAAAACTAATAGGTATTTTTTCAAGCCAATGGCATAAGCAATATATTTTACTTAAAAATTTTCAACCTAACAATTTGTTATTGAATGGTTTAAGAATTTTATGTTAATAAGCCAGGGGTGGTGATATATGCCTATAATCCCAGCACTTGGGAGGCTGAGACAGGAAGACTGCTGTGAGTTTGAGGCCAGCCTGGGCCTTGGACTCTCTTGGACTCTCTTGACAAAGAGAGTCCAAGTCCAGCCTGAACTACATAGCAAGACCCTGTCTCAAAAAAAAAAAAATTTTTTTTTTAATTTATGCGAAGAGGTAGTAGAAAAAGAATGTGACATTTTGATCAGTTTGCTTTATTTTCATGGTGCATCAAATTTTAGATTTCTATCATCTTTTGGTCTAAATAGTCTTTATTTATTTTATAAAATCCTGTAACTTTCCACTGCTCTTGGAAATGTATTAATTTAGGTAATCAAAAGAAAATTCCCACTCGACGCCATGATACACCCTCCAGCAACTTGGTGAGCTGAAGCCGGAGTATCATGATTCCTGGGTTAGCCTGGGCAACTTAGGGAGACCCTGTCTCAACATAAAATTAAAAAGACTCATGATACAGAACCCCGAGTTTCATTCCCAGTAAAACACACACACACACACACACACACACGCACACACAATCTTTGGTATCTGTCTATAGTAAATTACCATGTTTTCCATTTACTGGTACCTGACCAAATTGAGCGTAGGATAAATGTAGTCTTTAGTTTTTAAATTTTTATAATCCTGTCCAAGTAGTTTTTTTTTTCCCCTCTATTTACTCAGGAAAGTTACTTGGAGCCAGTTCTCCTACTTTACCATTCTGACACCCTCTAATTCCAATCACCCACGGAGCCCACCATCCTAAATATTTCTTGACTCTGTCAGCACTTTTTTTATTCTAACTACCTCTACCATCTTCTGACATTACTTTTCCAATTATAGAAAGCCTCAGAATTCTACTTAGCAAAACTTCCAACCTAATACAACGAGTCAGAGCAGAAGAAGCCTTCTGAGTTCAGCACTGGAATCAAAAGTGAGGAATATTTTTTTCTCATTAATAATTCAGGCCTCAAATTCTGTTCTCTTATCCTGAAAAGACATTGAACATGGCACTGGACACTTTTCACATTGGGGAGGGGTGTCTCAAGCTTTTGTATAAAAAAGAAATTTCACACATTATTATTGAACATGATAAAACACTTAGAATTTAAGGTAAATAAGATAGAGACTTACGAGCAAAATTACTGGAATCACCAGTATTTAAATAAAATTTCCGGCCCACTCCACTTGTTTTCCCAGGAAATCTATCAGCATAGTGACCCATCTGGGGGCATTCTCCACTTGTACAGGGGAAGCACTTATTCTAATGAAAAAAAGCGACAAATGAGGAGTCTCTTTTTTTAATAGGGCATCATCTTCCCTACATGTTGTTATGATACAAATATTCTAAAGTCTATTCTGTTCTGTTGGTAAACGGTACTTCAGTGGTGTTTCAGCAAAAGATAGTAAGGCATCTAATTGTTTATAAGGATGAATCAGCAATTTCACTGTTAGATAATACAATACTATGTAAACTACAGAGTAGGCAGATTGATATTCATGTATTTATCTTTCCCCTTGTGCTTATGTTGCACCATTTGCTCTAAGACATTTATCTCCCTGTAGAGTGGTTAGATTTTTAAAATTTATGTATTTATCTTTTTTTTTTTTTATTGGGTCTTGAATCCAGGGTCACAGGAATGCTAGGCAAGCACTCTACCCCAAGGTACATCCTCAGATTGGGCAGACAAACCTATGACTCAGAGACCGTAGGAGCCAAGAACACGAACCAAGAGACCCCCAGTCATTCTCTCTGCAGCACACACTGATGACCACTATTGTGGTCACCTGGCCCCAGCAGCAGCATGGAAACAAGCTGAGTGGGGAAGGGATACAAAGGCAAGAGAAATCAGTAAGACTGAGACATTTTTGAAAAATGTTGATCATCACCTAAGAGGGTGATTTTTATGTTTGAATCAGGTTATGCTTTCACTGAATGAGACCTAGTGCTTTTGTTGTTGTTGTTTTCCATTACTTATTCTTGGGTGTAAGAGAAGACAAAAAGCTATATCAAACCAAAGAAAAATAAAAGTGAGTTTCCCGCATTATTGTGCATTCTGAGTTCATACATACTGGGATTAAAATATATGCTCTTTTCTTGTAATAGCCAACATTTACTGAATGATAACCACTACTTTTTTTGTACTGGGCTAAGTAATTAACATAATTAATTTTCTTAACTTCTCTTACCAAATACATTGAGCCTATTACTTGCATTTATAAATGAAGAAACTCCCTCACAGAGGTGAGGTAGTTCATTCAGAATCATTCATGTATTTAAGGGTGAAATTTGGATTTTGGCCCTCTTAATCCCTAGGGTATATCTACCTGGCAATTATAGCTGTCCCTACAATATACTTAACTTGAAATTTCCTGTATTAAAGGGCCTATGTTGATATTAATTTTAATATACAGTAAGAAGAAAAGTCAACTTTATAACAACAACTGATTACAGATATGTCATATTCAAGAATACATGTAACAGTTCAAACTGGAGACCAGGAAGATGTTGAAAAAGATGAAAACTTATAGAAATACCGAGTATTATTGAACTGTGCAGGGGGTTTCATGAGTCCTAAGTCCATATTTAACAGGTCAGCATTTAAGGAAATTTTCAATGTTTGTAACATCCTATAAACACAGTTAAGATGTCCATAGACCAGTTCTTTTATTGTTGTTGTTTAGGAATATTTCTAAAACACATCAGCATCTGGCAGATATGAAGAGAAGTGATAAAATATTCACGTAATGCTGTTTTGCACAGTGAACCTCTCCAGTCCTGAGAAGTGTTACTCATAAAATTCTTTAGCGAAAATGTGACTACTTACCGCACTGAAGTCATTATAAGAGGAACAAGAGAAGCCAGAAAAGCCACTAGGGTTGACAATGCTATCCGTGTAATACTTATAGCTTCTTAAGTGGTTACAGGCCACAAAGTCGCGAGTTCCTGTACAGTCAGACATGAATACACATCAGTGATGATTTCAGTTTTCCAAGTTAATGTCATGATCAGAATAGTTATTGAACAGATTTCTCCAATTAGTATTAACTCCTGGAGGTCATGGCACAAAATCATTTATGAAGTGTAGTTATGATTTGTAATGCAATAAGAAAAGACTGGTCCATACAGACACAAATACAATTTAATAATGTATTCCTTGAATTTATGGGATAATGTAATCCATGGATTCCTTGATAAGTTGAATGAACATATATTTTCTTTTCTATGGTTTCCTCATGACCACTTGTCCCAGTGGGAAACTATTCCTCAAGGATGCAATTAAAAATCCTTTTAACCTGCACAATCCCGAAGTATTTAGTAAGTCTGACTAACCAAATATAAACTTTTCCCAATGAAAATCTCTTTGCACGCATAACGGTATTACCTTCCCAAATTCCATCTATGTCAACAATCTGAGAGATAATGTTCTTCTGACATCCGGGCATTTCCACCCCTCCATTTGGAAAGAAATCCAGGTGACCCACAGTTTGGCTCATTCCTAATCCTGAAGAATTTTAAAAATAGAAGGTTTATATATGATATAGCCTCAGGGCAAACTAAAACACTCTAATTTGTAGACTCAAAACCCTCCAAAAAGGACAAGTCATAGAACTTACCCAAGTTGGGAATCATGGGGCCAGCATCTGTGTGAATTACATCCACAAATTGGGCATCACTGGGGTCCAATCGAACTTCTTCAGGTGTATCCTGAAAGTAAGGTTCAGCAGGATCCAACCCTAACTCAAACAGGATGCATACGTCAGTGTTTTATGCATATTCACCTTTCTTCATTAGTTACAGACCTGAATGTGATTATTGGCTCTCATCATGAGTTAATAATGGAAAGGCATAAACAAGTTCCTCCTTCCCATACTGATTTCTGGAGGGAGATGTGCTTTTAGTTTACTCTTTACCTGAAAGTGAATATTCCCCAAACCACTGATTTTGCCAGTATTTATGAGAGAGTCTTGTTCAGTAGTAGCAATCACCAGAAAGAATGCAGACCCTGAAGAATACTGCGCTAAAAGTTGCTCCAGTGAAAAAAGTCTCCTGAAGATTGTAATTTCCCAGGAGAGCAAGGATCTTGGCTCTCCTGGTCATTCAGCTTGACATGGTCCGCTGCCTCGTTGAGCAGGCTGTGGTGGACATTGTTAACTATAGGAAAGAATGTTCTAGAAGAACTTCTTTTCAGTAGACAGACATTCCAGATGCTCCTATCATTCCAAATGCAATCAATTTATCCAAAGAATTAAAAAGAGAATTACTAGGCCAGAATGGAAACTTGGAAGAGAAAAGTAGTTTTTCCCTGAAGTAGTCATGTCTCAGATCCAGGATTCAATAGCAATGGCTTCCTCATCAGATTACAGGGTTGTTTTAGGATACAGTACTTGTGATTCCACTGGCCTAATGCAGCCAGTGTGGCATTTTAAAATAACATTTTAAAATCCAATTAGTAGTGCCACAAACTGTTAGCCCAAACAAGCCTAATTATCTGTTTCCATTTTCCCCAACTCTGTTGAAATTTGGGGCTCATTAGCCATTCCTGCTGAAGCAGAATAAAATTAATTATGTATATTTCAGCTCTGTAGGTTAAATTTTATTTATTCTCTTACTCTTGATATTTATTCTATTCACAGAACTTGTCTTTTGTGGATATCTAACTGTATGGTAATAAATATAAAAATGGTCTTTGGATATTCTTAATTCTTATTTTTTTTTTTTACCTATTTTTATTTTAAAGAGAAAAAAGATAAACAAACAATAAAACCAAATTTTGAGATAGGTGAGTATTACAGCTACAATAGTTGATACCTTGCATATTATTGTCTTTGTATTAATTAATCAGAATATAAGATATAGGCATGATAGCTTGTCTAAACAATATTAGCACAAAACATTCTTTTCAAGGAACTAAGAGAAGCTAGCTGTGAAACTATCTTGTGTATACATATATATTTTTTCTTTTTCCCTTTCTTCCTTTACCCTTTCCCCCATAGCAGTTTGTCTTTTCTTTTGCAGCTTTTTCTTTTGCACAGTTCACAATATCTATTGTACATTTGGATCGTATTTTCTTGTTCAGTTTCTTACACTAGTGAGACAATACAATGTTCATACATATGGGTCTGTTTTATTTCAGTTATGAGTATGATTTCTAGTTGCAAGAATTTACCTATAAAAGTCTCCAGTTTATCATCTTTATAGAGGAGTACTACTCCATTATATATATTCAAAAAACTACATCTTTTTTATCCATTCCTCTCTTGATGGGCATTTAGGTTGTTTCCAAGATTTAGCTATTACAAATTGTGCTGCTATGAACATGGGTGTACATATATCACTGTGGTACAATGTTTTTAGTTCTTCTGGGAAGATACCCAGAAGGGGAATAGCTGGTTCAAATGGGACCTCTAGTCCCAGTTTCTTAAGGAATCTCCACACTGATTTCCAGAGTGGTTGCACCAGTTTACATGCCCACCAGCAGTGGAGAAGGGTTCCTTTTTCCCCACAGCCCTGCCAGCATTTTTACTGGTTGATTTTTTGATAACTGCCATTTGATTCTTACTTTAAACACATGAAATGTATTTATGTTTTAAAGAGGGCATTGTACACCAAAGGTCAGTATCAACAAATCAACAAGGCCTTGTTTGTGATCATGCAGCCCAATTCAGAAAATGTGACAAAATACAAGCAGGTTGCACCAAACTTCTCTTGTGTATTTCCTTTGGACCCTGTACAAGTTGCCCATAGTCTTATTTTACGGTTTTCGCGATTGTGACCAACCTGTGATTCGTCCAATGGCCCCATCAGTCCTCTTTCCAGCCTCCCCAGCAGCATGGGAACCCAGACTGTGGCCAATGACATGGACGTTGGAAGGTGAGTATCCCAATTCAGACTGTTGGACAATGAAGGAAAACAGACTATGTCACATCAAAATAAGTCTCTTTGACATAAATATTTTTGAGCTGAAGGCACTTGAGAAGCAACTGTTGTAGGAAAGGCTTTACCTATAGCAAGCCATGAAAGTTTGCTTCCCTGTACCAACATGAGAAGGTAACACTTGTCACTAATGACTCAGAATTGATGCTGTAATTGGTGTGTATAAACTTACTAATGTAAGCCTTAACTTTCACTATGCATCTGAATAACTATAGTTGTCTACATGATATGTAATTTCTTATAGAAGTTTGCTCATAAAACAGCTAAAACTGCCAGAAATATAAGAATGTATCTAAAAGTTCATGTGACTTTAGTAATCTTCAGCAAATAAAACTAGTTTAATACTGATGACTTAATGAAAACATTGTATCTTCTGAGTTATTAAAAAAATACTCAAGTGTTCTGTAAACCCGGTCTAAGATTCCAAGAGCTAAGATGGCTGGAGGTTATCTCAGCCTCTTCTAAAAAGAAAATCTTTCCAGCATATTTTCAAGTATTGCAGAATTCACAATAGGAACAGAAAGGGAATGTCCCAAAACTGGAGTTTAAGTGGACATGCTGTTTCTTCAAAACCACTGATTTTCATGGTTTTCCCCCACAACTATACTGAAAGTGGAAATGATTTTAAACTTTTAAAGTGGTGGAGATAGACTTCTATTTTATCCTATGCTATACAAAAAGAAGTCTTGAAGGATGTGAAGAGTTGTTACTTAGAGATGATGAAACAGCTTTAAGATTTTGGTTATGCACTCAGGTTACCTTGTTATTACTGTGCTTCTCTTTTAAAAATTAGTTTAATCTTGAGGTTGATGTTGTCATGTACAAGTAGGAATAACTAATAAAATGGAAACAATACTTGTAGAATTCTGTAGAAAAGACTTGCATAGTTTCTTAATAAATTCACCTAATTTTTAAAAAAATACAGTTTATGGAACTAAATAAATTTATTGATGAACCCAATTTCTTTGTATTTTTTTTCTTTTCATTTCATAGAGAAATGTCTTTGTCAGTTGTCTATTCTTGCTTTAGGATTGGAAATGAACAAGGACTTTTTAAATAAGACTCCAAAAGCACAGGGGGAAAATGGGATTACAGCAATGTAAAAAGCTTTTGCACAGAAAAATGTATAATAAGAGTGAAGGGGGCTGGGGATTTAGCTCAGCGGCAAAGCGCCTGCCTGGCAAGCGCAAGGTTGTGAGTTCGGTTCCTGGTACCGGAGAAAACCAAAAAAACCAAAAAACAAAAAACAAACAAAGAGTGAAGGGACAATTTATAAAATGGGAGAAAATATTTATAAATCATATGTCTGACAAGGGGGAAGGTTATTTCTAGAACGTATAAGAAACTCAAACAACTGCACATACACACACACATACTTGATGGGCAATAGAACTAAATAGACCTTTCTCAAAAGATGATATAAAATAGCCAACAAGTAAATGCAAATTGTCAGAGAAATAAAAATCAGAACCACAATGAGATATCAATGTACCCCAGAAAAGATGGCTGGTATCAGAAAGATAAATATTGACAAGTGCTGGAAAGGATATGAAAAAAAATGCTTGAACACTGTTGTTGGGGAATATAAACTGATACGACCACTATGGAAAACAGCATAGAGGTTCATCCAAAAATTAAACATAGAATTACCATATGCCCCAGAAATCCCACTCCTCAGTATATAACCAAAGGAAAGGAAATCCATAGGTTGAAGAGATAGCTGCACTCCCATATTTATTGTAGCCCTATTCACAGTAGCCAAGAAAGGGAACCCACCTACATGTTCATCAACTGATGAATGTATAAATAAAATTTCATTGGTACATATACACAATGAAATAATGTTCAGTCACAAAAGGAAGTGAAATCCTGTCACTTGTGATAACATGGATGAAATCATTACATTAAGTGAAATAGATAAGGCACAGGAAAAATGAATATCGCATGATTCCATTCATATGCACAATAAAGCGGCTGACTAATAGAAATTGAGGAGAAGTTGAGAGGAAGGAAGTTGAGTGCAGAGGCTGGGAGAGTTTCAAGGAGGGAGAGATAGGGATTAACCAATGGGCACCAGACATAGTTAGGAATTAAGAAGTTCTGGTGTGCTATTGCACTATAGGGCAAATATAGACAACAATAATGCAGTGTGAATTCCAAAGAGCTAGAAGAAATGATTTCAAATGTTTGTATCATAAAAGTGTTAAATGTTTGAAGAGATAGATATATTTATCCTGATTTTAACACAATAAAATATATACATGAAACATCACATGTGCTCTGTAAATACGTACAGTTTTCATGTTCTTATGTATCATAATAATCATGGGAGTACAGTATATCTGTTAAAATATAAACTTGATAAAAGAGATTAACATGTCTTTAGTTTTCCTTTGGGAAAGAGAACCCAGAGAGCAATGTGTTTGGATTTTTAAATAATCCAAAAGTTGTTACCTGAAGGACTTTAACAAAATAGGCCACTTCGGCACCCACAACTCGGATGTTGTGTGTGGCTTGGGTGTATCCAGTTCGAGAGCCACCTTTCCAGTCCACACAGATACAATTCACGCTTTCCACCTGAAACATGTTCTAACAGAAGAGACACAATAAAAGGGAAATAACTCAGGATCTTTATTATTTAATAATTAACACATCTGAGGACTAGAATAAGTTCCCACCTAGACCTGTGCTATATGATATCACTTAAACCTCAAAGTTATAAGCAAATGCCTAGTCTGTAATAAACATGGAATCCCTTCTTAAGTTTGACAGTTGCTCTAGTTGGAGACAGGGCTGTTGTGGGAACTGTATTCTCCAAGTTTCTACTGAAACTGATACATAGACCCTTGATTAAGAGAGGAATGCAAAAGATGCGGTGTACTGAGTTGGCTCATTAGAACACTGTGAATACCACAAGACTCCCATGTGCCTTACTGGAATGCAGCCAAGAATGCTGCCTATCTCTTTCGCTGTATCCTCAGTGCTTAGAACAATACCTGGCACACAGTAGGTAGGTGGACAGTAGATATGTGCTGCATGAATGAAAGACTATGTTAGGACTCTTTGTACACATAAATATATTGAAGGTAAAGAAGTAAGCTTTTCCACAATGAAAAGCCTAATCAAAGATTTTAATGAGAACGTGATATAGGTTATTGAAGTTATTTCTTATGAAAGCATAGTCTACCAGATATCTACTGGAGATTCTGTATAATGGGTTTCAATTATAGGTTCATGAAGTATAGTCCTGGCAGAAATTGTTTCTTAATTCCTAGCTTTTTCCAAAAGAGTTAGAGACTAACAAAATCTTAGATAGCATCTCCTAACTCTCGTTTCACAGAAGGAAGAATACAAAGCAAGGAACTTACTTACTAATGCCCCGGTAAGCTAAGCATAGAGCCAGGACTAGAATCATAGGCCTTTATACATCTAGTTTAACTTACTAATATCTACAGTTACCCAAAAGCATTGTCAAAGGTAAATCAAACTCTTTTAAAACACATCTACTTTGGAATCTTAGAAATACATTGTTTATCTATGTCTAATAAATACATATTTTCTTTGAGTTAAGAATCATGTTTCTTTTTTTCACTGCTGTACAGGAGGCCATTTTTACTCCCTTCTTCACCCCCATCCAATAATCATCAAATTTATTTTAGAAAAAAACTGTGGTTTTAATGATTATTTCTAAGCTTTTGAAGTGAATGGATTCTGGGGTGCTTATCTGGCCCTGGGATCAGCTTATGTATTCTGGGGCTGACTTGGTTCTGCCTTTGGCATTATTCAAACACAGGCCAGAAGTGAGTGGGTTTAGGAGGGCACTGGTGTCTTTTTCTGGCACCCTCTGGAGAGATAACTACTGCTTTGTACCACAGCAGCCATAGGAATTTGATGAAATTGTGAATAAATGCTCAAATAAATGTATCAATAAAAATGTTCTTCAAACACTACCAGTTACTAAGAAAATTTATTCTATTTGATTTTGTGTCTTTTAAATCTTGGTTTTCCCTGTGAACAGTGCAAAAAACAAATTAAAGAAATAAGATCATTGCTACAGAAATAACAGAAGGCAAAAGTTAAAGCCGTCATGATTTTCCTAGACCAGAGGAAGTCAGAGTAACAAGTGAAAATCAAAGGAAAGTTAGTTTGGGCAAATGAAACCTCTTAGCTCTTCAGGAAATTAAAATGAACAAACTGGGGCCGTGGTCAGCTGGGATGCACATGTATGCCAGTTTCTGCTGCAAAGTTTTGAAATGCCTCTGTATTAATTATGAAATATTTACTGTCTGGAACCGCCACATGCCTGCCCACCTGATTGCCTGGAGACTATCCCAGGCCCTCTCCACTTACCACCACTACCTGGACCTCCCACGTACCTTCATGAGAAGGGTCAGAGGATCCTTCAGTGTGGCCGTGCCCAGCATTTGCCCTCTTGGGTTGAGACCAGGGCCTTACTGGTTGTTAATTTTCACTCCTGAGAGAACCCTCCCTTAGACGATTACCAGGGCTTACCTTGCACATATTGGTCAGCCAATTTTCTTCTCCTTTGTCTGTGAATCCATGGATAATAAAGCGGGTTTTTCTATTTGTTTTAAAGTTGGAATTCTTGATCTTTGATGCATCTGCAACAAGTTCCTATTTTGGGGAGAAAAGTGTTTCAGTCAAAATTTTCAGTGTCCTCTGGGATCATTTATATGTGGGGGGAAATGGTAGATGGGTGAGAAGTACTGGAATTTGGGATCCTTGTGAATAAGAATCCTCTCATTACATCCAAACCAATCATCACCAAGCTGCTACTTTCCAGTCATCACAACATTCTTGTAGTTGTTCAACTCAGGATAATATGTATGTTATAATGTTGGTGATATGGCTCTTGTCTCCCCATAATGGAGGTTTTGTGTGTCTGTGTCTGTCTGTGCATTGTATATATACATACATGCATATACACAGTACATTTAATTTGTTTGTATATCAATTATAAGATATACACTGTATATAAAGTATTGAGAAATTTTATAAGCATATGTAATAATAAGAGTGTGTATGTATGTATGTGTGGTATGGAGAGATTTTACTTTATAAATACGATTCCCTGTCTCAATTCATTTGAGGTGCTATAGTAGAACGCTCCAGACTGGGTAATTTATAAATAATAGAAGTTTATTGTGTTCCTGGTTCCTTATGTTGGGAAGTCCAAGAGCATAGGGCAGGCCTTGGTGGTATTCCCACACTGGAATGTGGATTAGTAAGTCAGCAAAAGAGATAGAAGACCAAACTGGATTTTGTCAGGAATCCACTCCCATGATAACTATCTTAATCCATTTTAGAAGGGGAAGCCTTTTTTGACCTAATCACCTCTTATCAATTCTTCTTGCTAATATTACCCAATAGCAATTAAAATTTGACGTGTGTTTTAGTGGGGCCATTTCAAACCATAGCACTCTTTGTATTTCCAATATTTATTAATTACATCTTGGAAGTAATACAAAAATATTATGAAATTCACGGACCATTTGTAAACAAGTTACACAAAATAGCATGTAGGCTTATTTTCCTGAAAATTTATAAGGATATAAATTCCAATATTTGATTAGTTTTCCTTAGAAGACTTGGATATTCATTATGTGCAATAGTTTGAATATGTCCCTCAAAACTCAATTGATATTTATCTGCCATTGTGTTATATGAAGAGATGAGAGCTTTAAAAGGTGATTATGTCATAAGGACTCTACATTTATGAATAGACTAATGCCATTACTTTGGAAGTGGTTACTTACTGTGGGAGTGGATTCTGGGTGAAAGGATCTCTCTCTCTCTCTCTCTCTCTCTCTCTCTCTCTCTCTCTCTCTCTCTCATCATATTCAGCCTTCTTCCATGTTATGATGCAACAAGATAACCTTCACCAGATGCAGACCCTTAATCTTGGACTTCCTGGCCTCCAGAACGTTGAGCTAAGTAAAATCTATTTTTTATAGTTAATCTAGTCTATAGCATGCAGGTACAGCACCAGACAATGGACTAAGATAGAAGTAGGGTTCCAGAAATAGGGCTGTTGCTATAACACATACCTGAACACGTGGATGTTCCTTTAGAATTTAGTAATGGGTAGAGGTTGGACAAATCTGAAGAAGTGGGCTAGGAAAGCTTGTTTTTCCCTGAATGGAACGTTAAGGACTGCACTGGTGAGCACTCTGAGGAAGAGAATAGCTGTAGGGAAAGTCTGAAACTTCATAAATATTACTTAAGTAGTCAGGACAAGAATGTTGATAAAAATATGTAAAGGTCATTGATGAGCTCTCAGATAGAAATGAGGAAGAAGTTATTGGAAACTGGAGTAAAGGCAATCCTTGTTATACATTTGCAAAGAACTCGGCTGAGTTGTGCTCATGTTCCGGGACTTTATGGAATATCGAATTTAAGTGCAATGAATAGAATATTTGTCAGATGAAATATCTAAGAAACTAATCATTCAGGCTGCTGCATGGCTACTTTTACCAGTATATAGTGAGGTATGAGAGGAAATAAATGACCTAAAGATGGAATTTTTAATTAAAACAGAAGCAGAATAGAATTTGAAAAATCTGTAGCTTGAACAGGCAAAGAGTAAAATGGTATCTTCAGAAAAGCAAAACAAGTGTGTGATCAAGTACCCATTTGCTAAGGAGATTGCTATAGATAGAAGGAATCTACATACTATTTATCCATACAGTGGGGAAAAGACTCCAAGGACATTTCAGAGATCTTTGAGACTGCTTCTCCCATCAGAGACTCAAAACTCTACAAGGGAAAAGTGGTTTTGGGGGACGAACCTGGGACATTCTCCATGGTTTGCTGCCTGGAATCAGCTCAAGTCTCTGAATTCTGCATTCTAGGTACTGCTCCTCAGCCCTCTCATCTATAGCTCAGGCTACCACTCTGCAGAGTGCAAGCAGCAAACTTTGGTAGTATCTACAGGGTGTTAAGTTTCCAGGCTTAGAGAATACAAGGACTGTGGGGCATGTACTGTTTCCTAGATTTCGAAGGCTGTGTGGACAGGCAGAAATGTGATGTGGAGGTAGAACCATCACAGACAGTCCCTACTATACCAGTGCCTAGAGGAGCTGTGGAAGTGGGAGAAGCTTTTGCAACATCAAAACTATAGAGCTACCAGCATGCAACACCAGCCTGGCAGAGCTGTCAGCACAAGACGCCAACCTAAGAGGATGCTGGGGCACTGAGCCCAGCAAAACCATGGAGTCCAGGAGGTGGCGCATGGAGTAAAAGATTATGATCATCTCAGGACTTAATGCTATTAGCACTGTTGGATCTGAGACTCACTTGCAGACCTGTTACTCCTTTTTTCTTGCATATTTCTCCCACTTGGATTGGGAAAGTCTATCCTATGCTTGTCTTACTAATGTATTTGGGGAGCAGATAACTTATTTGGTTTGAGGCTCACAACCTGAGGAAATGTTTTGAGTTTCACTATAGCTGGTTTAGAAAAGACTCTGAAAAATTTTGGGTATTTTAGTTGACGTAGGGTAAGTAAAGACATTTAGGGTTATTGGGACAGAATATATTTTGTATGAGAGGAGGACATGAATTTTGGGGGAAATAGGGATGAAACTGTATGATTCAAATGTCCTCTCCAAAAAGATGCTGACATTTAATTACCATTGTACTGACATATGTGATGGGTCATGAGCACCCTGCCCTCATTCATGAATGCTGTTGTTGCAGGACTGGGTTAGTTATTGCAGAAATGGGCTTCTTATAAAAGTATATATTTATCCTATGCTCTTCTTTCTATCTTATACACTCTCTCAGCATGTGGTACCTTTTGCTATATTATGATGCAGCAAGAAAGTTCTCACTAGATACATTCATAGTCTGGACCCTTAACCATGGAATTCCCTGCCTCTACAACTGTAGACCAAATAAACTGTAAAATAACTTACTTAGTCTGTGGGATTCTGTTATAGGAGCAGAGAATGGAGTAAGATACATCCTTATTACCCTTATTAGTTCCAAATAGATGGAACCAAATGCATGAGTGTTCTTACTTGATAATTGCTTGGATTCTCATTAGTGTATAGGAGGAAGCGGGTATTGATAATACTCGGAGCCCAGGGTAACATTTTCAAGGGTCTTATGATGGTTCCTCCCCACGGAGCAGCATCGCTGAAGCAGCCGAGTTTATTGTAGCAGATTTCACCTCCTGCAATTACCCAGAAAGGTTTCAAGGACATCAGTTCATTGCGGCAATAGAAAGGTGTTTTTTTGTTGTTGTTTTTAAATGGTTTTTAAGCAAAAGTTACATTGCCTGGCAGATTTTCTTTCTCTAATTTCCCACACTCCCTCTTACACATTCACAAAGCACCTGCAAAAGACAATACATCTGGTACACACAGGCAGCTCCCTTCGCTTCCAACCCAAGAGACCATGTCTTGCCCTTTGTGTGTCTGTTCACTCCCAGGTAGACACTATTTAAGCTTCTGAACCCAGACGTCATCTTAGCCTATTGATGTTTGGGAGTGGCCCTGTGTTCCCAGGCTTGCGTGGTAGGTTGTGTGTGGAGATTCTCAACTCCTAGCAGCCACTTCCTGGCTTTGTATTCTGGGCCTCCAGTTAAATTTCATGAAAAATCAAACGTTCCTGTCTCTCCCTTGGCTGAGAAGAAGATGTCTGGCCTATTTTGAAGACTGTCCTAGACTCCTGCTATGAAGAAACTGTTCACACACAATCAAACAAAAGATTCACAGTTGGACACAAGGGTAGGCTGGCCTATCACTGTATAACGTGATAATTCAAAGGAAGGGTTCTAAGGGAGGATAAAATCCAGGATACAGTAGGAATAAGAGTAGTTGCTTCCCTGGGGGCTGAACTCCTGATCATCTTGATACGTGCCAGATGCCTGGTTGGATGGTTTATTTTACCTAAGCATCATGTCCATGACTTGAGAAAGGTGATTTCATTATCCCCACTTTACAGATAAGATCCTGAAGCACAGAGGGGTTATGGATTTTGCTCAGCCTAATAGAGATTTAGGTGATTAAAGCAAGATTAAAACTTTCCCCTTGACTCCGAGCTAGGGATGCTAGCTAAGATAATAAAACTACAAATTAAAATTAAAATGGTCATTAAAATACTTTAGAGATATTTTTAAAAAGAAAATATGTTACATTTTTGTGTTTGTCTGAATTACTTCTTGTTTATCTGAAATTCAAATTGAACTGGGCCTTCCAGAGTTTGTGCAGTAACCTCAATCTCAGCCCTTGTGCTTGCTCTTAATCCTGCATCTGCCCTGCTTTACCTCTCACTCTCCCCGTGACTTGAGTCTGGGCTTGTGCCTCTGGGAAGGACACCAGTTCCTGGCTCTACTCAATTATTTTCTCTTACCTGCTACTGCTCCCAGCAGCAGCGAGAACGTCCAGAGCAGCAGCATCTACAGAAAGGTAAAAACACCACTGAGTCTAGAGAACTGAGGTGTTCAAACACTGGCATAAGCCAAGTTAATTTCAATTTCTGCAGAAAAATGGCTAAGTTCTCATAAAGTAGCCTGGAAAATATGTCCCTGACTTACCGTGGTTGATCTGTGAGGTTCTACAGACAATCAGACAATACCAAAATGTTCCTTTATAAGTGAGCTTTATCTTTCCAAGAAGTGTCATGGAAAAATGACATGAAAAGGGAGAAGGTTCCAAGAACATAGTTCTAATTTTAATCATAGGTAAACCCAAATTGATAGAGTACGTAGTTTTCCCACAGTGATCGTGAGAAGATGTAAAAGTGGTAGATGCAAGGTTCTCTTTCGCTCTGTTTATGTAATGCTGAGTCATTTCACTGTAGTGAAAATTCTCTTCTACCTTCTTTATGGTTTACACTTCTTTGTGCAGGCCCACTGGTGGGTATGAAGTCTAATGTTGCTCAAATTTGATAGCAGCTGTTTTGAAAAATTAATATTTCAAGAGCATTATTTGGGCTGGAGATTTAGCTCAGTGGCACAGCGCCTGCCTGGCAAGCACAAAGTCGTGAGTTCTATTCCCGGTACCGGAAAACAAAACAAAACAAAAAAAGAGCACTATCTGTATACAATAGCTTTCTCATAATATTGCCTACCCCTCAAACACAGTGGAATAGAAATGGTCCTTCAAGAGTGAGAGCAGTCCTTTCAGGAAAACAGTTCATATTTTATAATGATAGTCCGTAGCACTTCCTCGCTTCTTAACAATAACATGGAGGAAAGAATAAACAAGGGGACAAAAGGAATTGGCATATTTATGAGAACATAGACTTTCAAACAGTGACCCCACCACTGGGTGAAAGAGAGAAGGATAAACTTCAACCTAAAAAAGAAATTGTATGAGAAAAATACAATTGCTGCAATATAGCTGGGATAGTTTTAGTTTGTCTTAAACTGTTTAAATTGCATTTTAAAAAGCAATGAGCTATCATAATTTTAGGGACTAGAATCATTTAGCCTGATAGTGTCACAGTTTTAAATTGCTATTTTGTAGATCAAAAAAGGTTAAATAATAATTCACTCCACTGACAAAATTTATAGGGATAGGAAAAAACAACAAAAAATTATGTGTATAAAGAACAATCAAGAGAGTCCAGCAATAGTTATGGTAGATCCATAATTGGACTTGAAGGCAGAAGTGGGATACCATGGATGTGAGCCCTGAAAAATTCTCACCTAAATCTTTCCTGACTAAGCTTATGTTTCCGCCTCAGGGTGCCTTATTCAGCCCTCCCTAGGGTGGTCCCCCTATTCCTTCTACCACGCTATCCTCGCTACCCCTCTGACCACTTCCCTCATGTGAGATCCCATCACATTCCTTCTGGGTCACAAAGTAAGAGGAGACTGGAATTTCCTGGGTCACACTGTCACACTTGAGCGTCCAGTCCAGTGCACATATCTGGCACATACCTGTTGGATGAATGAATACAGGAAGTGACTATGAAAACGTTTATTTTGCAAGATTGCTACGGTAACAACTACTTACACAATCTCCTAGGAAAAGACTTTGAATGTTTTATTCAAGCAAAGCAAAACAAAACGGCAACAAGAAAAGTGAATAACAACAACCAAAAAACCCCACAGAAACAAAAATCTTCCAGCAATTCCTAAGAACAGAGGTCATTCAGGGAAGTTTGGAATCCTCAAGCAAACGTGTCCTTTTTCCCATGGGCACTTGGCCAGTGGATGAGCTAGATAACTGGAGGTGAGAAGCCCAGGCTGGCTGAAGGTTAAGTAAATGAGACCCTGTGTGTCCACTCTGCCAGTAATCTGACCACACAGGTGTTCAAGCACCTTTCTTTCCCTGACCTGGAGTGTGGTATCACCAGATTCCCAGAATCAAAGCACTGTGCAAGGAACATTTATCTCCTAGGCAAATATAGCTTTTTTCTAAATGTTGAAGTCGAATCTATGTGATGTAATGATGTACTGAATCCAAAAAATGTGGAATTCCTTTTCAACAGAAGGCCCCCTAGACTTTCAATGCCAGGGAACACCTGAAATGGGGCTGTCATGGCTCTAATACCCTTGGTGAAATTTCATGACTCAGCCGCAGAGTTCAGCAAGATTGGATTTAGGGAAATTTATTCATGCAGAACTGACATGACAGATTGCAGATTGCATCACCTTCCTGTGTAACTTTTGTAGATTTGGGGGATTGGGTCTTTCTGAGACATTCTGTAATTTGGACATATATCAGTTACAAAATGATACCCCATAGCCTCTAGACTCTGTTCAGAATTTGGTGACATTTGATACTAGTTGTATGCAATGGTTCTTTTAATGATGTGCAAAATTTTGTGTCATCTTAAATGCTAGTTTTAAAATATTACTTTGGGCCAAGGACATAGCTCAGCAGCACAGCACTTGCTTGGCAAGCACAAAGTGCTGAATTCAATTCCCAGGACAAAAAAACCCCATATA